TACTGGTTATTTTTGTCTTTGAGGCTACTGTAAACAGAAAGAGGATAGAGATTATACCCATTGTAGTACCCATGTCTACAAACAATATCTAGCACCCATTCTATACTTGATAATGACTTGAATACCTCAGCTAAAAATGGACAATATGGTGAAAATGACCGACTTTATGTAGTCTTGCTCTATAGACAATTAATTTCAGAGCTAGAACACTGAAACTTTATTCAAGATGGTCAATGTTCTCAAAACAGGATAGAAGGCATGTTTTGTAAGCAGGAGTGGAGGACATATGCCTATAGTCTGCTCCAGTGTCTCTCAAATTCTCTGTGGCAAATTTAAATTTGTAAGACTTTATAGCCTGGTGTGGTGGCACACATGAGGCTGAAGCAGGATGAAGGATGACAAACTCAAGCTTAGCCTGGGTAACTAGTGACTTAGTGAGAGCCTGTCTTAAAATAAATAAATAAATAAATAAATAAATACAAATTAAAAAGGGGTTGGGATGTAGCTCAATGCAAAGACCTTGAGTTCAATCCCCAGTACCAGTACCACAAAATAAAGCAAACCAAATGAAACTGCTGTAAATGAAAAGTGCAAAGCAATTGAATTACTTATGAAATGAAACACACACACACACACACACACACACACACACAAATAAGCCCAATTACTTTAATAGCAAAATAAAATTATTCTACCAAATTTCTATAAAACATTCTAAACAGTTTTTGTCAATATCCACACTTGTTGAAGATCAATAACCAATTTGAAGATCAGTAACAATTTGAGTGTAGCACTGGGTCGAGAAATGTATTTTGTGTAGTAGTAGTAGGTGACTATGCTATCATTCTTCCTCTTGGGGTTGGCTTAAGGCAGTATGTCTCAAAGCCTAACTATTCTTTGTTGGTTAGCGCTTACTAACTTACTGAAAGGGCAATTAGCAACCTAGAACACTAAATACTAGCAGCAACACCATTACCAACTGTGGTTCAAACCAATACCCTGCTTACCTTCTGTTTCCATTTCTAGCTGCTGGGGGAAGAGTCAATAGTGTCACAATTCAGTACCACTGAGGGAAGGGGATTCTTCCTAGCCACTTCACAATCTTAGAGTAGACATTTTGTTATCAGTCTGGGGAGGATTTGTACCTATGCAGGAATACTAATGAGCTGTGGCCATGGATGTAAATTGGAAGGTGGGAAAAAATGTTTCTCGAAGCTAAGTCTATTATTTTTGTTTCCCACGTTTACTGGGTTTTGAAGGGAATGACAGTGGTGAGAAAAAGTTAAATATTGCTTCTGGGACATTTACAGAGATAGCAACTAGTTGTTGGGATTTAAATTTCTGGCTGGGTTACACCCTATCTGCCCGTTTTTTTTGTGGCACTGGGGACTGAGAGCCTTTGCCCTGAGCTTCCTCTTTAGTTCTCCCTCCCCTTTCTGAGACAAGGTCTTGTTCTGTCACTAAATTGCCTAGGCTGGGCTTGAATTTGCATGCCTCAGTCTCCCAGAGTATTAAGTCTTTCATCAAACTGCTGGGCACATTTTTTCATCACAGCTAGCTTCTCTTAGCTCGTCTAACTCATTTTCTAGGCGTAAGGTATTTTGTCTTATTGCTTTGTTTCCTGTGTTCCTGCAGTGAAAGAATGAATAGCTGTAAAGCTATCACGTAGGAAATTTTCTTCACACATTGGATATGTAAGTAGAAAAGAGTATTTGTAGAAGTTATACTAATCGTTTTCTGGCTCCTCTGACTTACCAACATACCAAGGGTTGTTTGTTTTTTTAACATATATTATGCTTTAGAGCATTAGTATTTAAGAAATTTGTAGCAGGACATGGTGGCACATCCACTTTGGGAGGGCTGCAAAACTGCCTAGCCTGGGCAATTTGGTGACTTAGCAAGACTCTGCCTCAAAATAAAAGAGGTGTAGCTCAGAGCAAAGGCCCTGGGTACAACTCTTAGTACTAAAAAAACCAGTAAGTAAATAAAGTTACTTGTGTCATCTGCTAATAGAACACAGGTGTAAATTTTTCTATCTTGTAGCAGCGGAAATACTTCTACATCCTTCACTGAAGGCGAACTTATCATTCTACATGTCAAAGTTTTCCAGTTGTCCTCCTGAAGATAAGAGATCTCACACAACTTGTTCATTCTGTGTGACTACTAGTGTGCCAGAAGGCAGGTGAATGCCTTAAGGCTGCATTTCTCCACAAACGTGGCCGACCATACTGTTCAAAGACAATTGGATTCTACCCCAGTTCAGTTCTCACTCTAGTTGAGCTGAAGTTTAAATAAACTTCCGTATCTTTTAAAGCCATATAGGTTTCTACCACAAATAGGAATCACCCTTTATTCTGGAAACAATCTGTGTCACCCAGTTGTCTCAGACTCTTCATCCAACCAACATAAACCTGAATCTCTAAATTGAACTGGTTATGATGATTGTTCCAACTGAGAATAACTTGAACTTCTTGGCAGGACTTTATAGACTTCAACTTCTAGCACTGAAATGGCTACAAGGCTAGGTTTTTGGTTTGAGGCATGAATGAAGTTAGCTAAGGCTATTTACCTCAAGATTTCAAATGTTCTGGCAGACTAAAACTTCTTTCATGTTTTGTTTTCCTTTCTTCAGCTTTATAAACTCAGAATATAGTTTGTACTGTCAGGAAGGTGCTGAATTCATGATAAGAAAACATGCTTTTAAGTCTCATGCAGTAGTATGTACCTGTAATTCCAGCTACTCGTGCTGCTGAGGCTGGAGCACTGTGCAGTGCAGGCCAGCTTGGGTAACGGAGAAAAGTAGTGATTCAAGAAAATAGGGAGAGACAGCTAATATGCTTAGCTGCAGCTACCTCTATCTTGAAGCTTAGGAACTCCAGTGGGAATTTGTAACACTTGATTTTTAAGAGTTATATTTCAATTAAAAAAAAAGAGGGGGGTGAAGTGACCACAGATTTAGGAACACAGTTACCAGTAAGGTTCATTAAATACTTTTTCTTACTTTAACTCTTTGTTAGAGGTTAGTTTTTTTTAGGGAAGGCTTTTTAACTTGTTGCTCTTCTTTAACACTACAGAAAAATTTGGGTGGGAAGATAAAGAATACACTTTCAAGCTTCAGTGCTATTTCTTGTTATTCCAGTTATTCCACTTACTCTGGTTTCACAATATGAGAAATATTGAAGAGATGTAGTGATAACACCATAAAGGAGCTTGATCCAAGGTAAAACTGCCATCTGATTCTTCAATGAACTGAAAGTGCTTCTAAATTAAAATACACTTCCTCTGCAGAATTCTTCGTGGCAACTCTTAGTTCACAAAAGGAAAGGTTATACTATTCTAACCAGATCATAAAGTCGAGTCAACTACATGGGATCACTCAGACACCTTGAACGTATTTGCACACCAGCTTGGGACTGTGTTGCACAACATGGGTCAAATTCTGAGCACTACAACTTGAGGACTGGAAATCTTGGAGAGAGTTTAAAGAGCCACAATGATTAATAATAACCTTGGCAAGCTGGAGAAATGGGCAGATAATTACAGGATGAACTTAATAAACAAAAATATAGAGTAATTTAGAAGAAGAGCAAAAGAAAACCGTATAAACACAAGTGGCTTTGTAGAATATGGGAATCAGTAAATCCTAAGTAAAACATGAATGACCCATATCATGCAGTTGATTTTATTTTTTTTAAATCCAACAATTTGTAAACTACATGTAAGGATATATTTAAGAAAAGACAGCCATTCTGTAGTCACTTATACATTCAATAAGCACATGTGCCCGACACTTGTGGGTGCTGGGATAAAATAGGCAAAAATACAAGATACCTACCTTCAGCTAAAGTGTAAATGACGGAGCTACTATATTTAAGTCTCTAGTCTGTAATCTGTAGCTAACTTTACAGCAAGCGCCCTGATCTTATTGAGGTATGGATCCTATTTTTACATTTTGGACCCCATTTCGTGTCCAACACTCATTAGGCAGTCAACATGGGTTCCGAGTAAAAACAAGGGCCTGAAAGAGTTCAATTTTGAAAAAATAAACACTTGTCTCACCATCAACTACGTCGCTCGAAATCTGCATTTTTTTCTCCAAAGCGCGATAAATTCTTGGGAACCTATTACATGCACAACAGTTCTCAACACAATGCTTTGTGCATAAAAGATGTGGACATGGATTGAAACTGCACGTCCTGATAATAGGCGTATAAATTCTGACCCGGCGCACAGCCCCCTTCTCTGTTTTTTAGCTGAAAGACAAAAACCCTCCTGCAGAAGCCCCGGCTCTGGGACGCTGGGCCGGGACCCGCGGCAAGAGCGGCAGCTTGCGCGGCTCGAGCTCGCCTGGGCGGGAGGCGGGCGCGGCTGTCCGACTCCCACCGCCGGGCGCCCCCCAAAGGCCCCCGGGCGCCGCAGCACCCCCCGGAGGAGGCGTCCGCCCCGTCCCACCGCGGCGCTGGTCCGCCGGGGCTTCCCCAGCCCTCCGGGCGAGCGATCCGCACACCCGCGCGCCGGGTGTCCGACCACACCCAGCCGCCCACCCACAGCCCGGCCGCAGCCCCGGGACTCCGAGGCGCCCGCGCCCCTTTGTCGCGGGACGTCTCGCCCGGGAAGGCCGAACGCCGAGGCCTCGCGGTACTGAGCCTCCGCCCGCCCCGCCCCTTCGCCCTCCAGTCGGCCCCGCCTCGCTCTCACCCCGCCCCCGCCTCGCTTCCCCGACAATCTCCTCGCGCTCCCGGCCCCGCACGCGCGCCGCGCTCGGCCGCCGCTGTCGCCTGCCG